TCCTTCCTTCCTTCCTTCCTTCCTTCCTTCCTTCCTTCCTTCCTTCCATCCATCCATCAGAGGTGGTATTCAGCAGGTTCTGACCAGTTCTGGAGAACCAGTAGTGGAAAGTTTGAATAGTTTGGAGAACCAGCAAATCCCGCTTCTGACTGGCCCTGCCCCACTCCATTCTCTGCCTCCCATTGAGTCCCAGCTGATCGGCTGGGTCTCCTTTGGTTGCCCTGCACAGGAGAATGGAGCTGGAAAGTAGGTTAGTTGGGTGGGGAGGGAAGGGGGATTTTGCAACATCCTTCCCCTGCCATGCCCACCAAACCACACCCACAGAACCAAGAGTCAAAAAATTTGAATCCCACCACTGCCTTCCATGGCGTGCAGTGTTTAGAATGCGGTATTGCAGGCTAACTCTGCCCGCTGCCAAGAGTTCGAATCTCACCAGGCTCAAGATTGACTCTGCCTTCCATCCTTCCGAAGTCAGTTCAACAAGGACCCAGATTGTTTGGGGGGGGGGGGTGTCAAAATGCTGACTCTGTGTAAACTGCTTAGAAGTGGCTGCAAAAGCCCTGCGAAGCGGTATAGAGTCTAAAGGGTTGTTGTTATTGATAAAACCCTGGTTATTAAAAAAAAAGGGGGGGTTATGAAATCGAGCTGGCCCTCCCTGAACCTCCCTAAGCCTTGCTTAGCAACGGGGATCCTGGTCCCCCGTAAGTGGAGGACTTCCTCTTTGCATTTCGAGTCGAGGTGTGAGAAAATGATGCCGCGACGAAAGCCTCCCTCCGTTTCGCTCCATTTCCCCTCCGCGGGGCCAGCCTTACCGAGGGTCGCCAGGACGTGGCGCAGCTCCGCTCCCATCACGGTGCCGTTCCCTTCCTTGTCGAAGACGCGCAGGCCCTCCACGAAATCCTCGTAGGTCCCCGTGTCTTTGGTCTTGGCGATGTGCTGGAGCATGGGCAGGAACGTGTCAAAGTCCAGCATCTTGGTGTTCATCTCTGTCCAAAGAGAGAGGGAAAAGCTTCACCCGCCACATCGCAAAGCAAACCCTTAGCGGAAGAACAACGGCGGGGGAAGACCTTGGAGGTCCTCTAGTCTGACCCCCCCCCCCTGCGCGCGCAGGCGAGGCGATCTTGGGTTAAGTGAATGTTCCGGTCTCATCTTGGGAAACACCAGGGATGGAGCCACCCGCAACTTTGGGAAGCAAGCTGGTGCCGTCGTTAAGCAAACACGGCAGTTGTGAAATGAAGGCTGCAGTCGTTAGGCAAACACTGCAGTCGTTAAGTGAATGTTCTACCGGCAGTTATTAAACAAACACTGCAGTCATTAAGTGAATGCTGAAGTTATTATGCGAACACTGCAGTCATTAAGCGAACACCCCAGTCATTAAGCAAACACTGCAGTCATGAAGCAAACGCTGAGTTATTAAGCAAACACTGCTGTCATTAAGTGAATGATTGAGTTATTAAACAAACACTGCAGTCATTAAGGGAACACTGAAGTTATGCGAACACTGCAGTCATTAAGCGAACACCCCAGTCATTAAGCAAACACTGCAGTCATTAAGTGAACGCTGAAGTTATTATGCAAACACTGCAGTCATTAGGCGAACACCCCAGTCATTAAGCAAACACTGCAGTCATTAAGTGAACGCTGAGTTATTAAGCAAACACTGCAGTCATGAAGCAAATGCTGAGTTATTAAGCAAACATTGCAGTCATTAAGTGAATGTTTGAGTTATTAAACAAACACTGCAGTCGTTAAGGGAACACTGAAGTTATGCGAACACTGCAGTCATTAAGCGAACACCCCAGTCATTAAGCAAACACTGCAGTCATTAAGCGAACGCTGAATTATTAAGCAAACACTGCAATCATTAAGTGAACGCTGCAGTTATTAAGCGAACATTGCAGTCATTAAGTGAATGTTTGAGTTATTAAACAAACATTGCAGTCGTTAAGCGAATGCTAAAGTTATGTGAACACAGCAGTCGTTAAGCAAACACTGCAGTTGTTAAGCGAACACTGCAGTTGTTAAGCGAAAACTGCAGTTATTAAGCAAACACTGCATTCGTTAAGTGAATGTTTCAGTTATTAATCAAACACTGCAGTCGTTAAGTGAACGCTGCAGTTATTAAGCAAACATTGCAGTCATTAAGCGAACACTGCAATCGTTAAGTGAATGCTGCAATCGTTAAGTGAATGCTGCAGTTATTAAGCAAACAAATCAGTTGTTAAGAAAACACTGCAGTCACTATGTAAACGCCTCGGTCGTTAAGCGAATGCTGCAATTACTAAGCGAACGCCGCCATTGTTAAACGAACCCCCTTTTCCCCGGTGGCATCTTTTGCCAGAAGCCACCCCAAAAAACACCGCAAAAGACGATTGTGTAACCACAGGATACATCAAAACAGCCGTAATACGGGCTGAGTACCCCAAAATGGGACCGTCGCGTGAGTGCGTGGGAGAGGGGCGACTATTGGAATTTTGAACCCGGGTCATAAGAAGCTCTGGGAAAATCCACCGTAACTTCCAAGAAGTCTCTAAGGGACTGGTCATTAAGTGAGGACTCCCTTCCAATAAAATTATTGGGCCCGTTTTGGATGGAAAAACCCACTCAAACGTGCAAAAATTGCTTATCGCTCAAGGCCATTGAGCAGCAGAAACTGACCGTCTGGTTTCGGGCGTCCGAGGACTTTATGGACTTCTGCCTGGGTGGGGTTCTGGCCACAGGACCTCAAGACATCCCCACATTGCCCGTAAGTGATTTTCAGTTCGCCCTTTTGAGTCCGGTCGAAGAGTTCAAAGACCTCCCTGAATTCTGAAGACGGCGAGAAAAACAACACCACAGGAAAAATTGCGCGAAATTGTTTGCAAAGTAGGATACTGAATAATAGAGCTGGAAGGCGCCCTGGAGGTCAACTAGTCCAACCCCCTGCCCAAGCAGGAGATCCTGTACCATTCCAGATAAATGGCTGTCCAGCCTCTTCTTAAAAACTTCCAGTGTTGGAGCATTTACAACTTCTAGAGGCAAGTTGTTCCACTGGTTAATTGTTCTCACTGTCTGGAAATTTCTCCTTAGTTCTAAGTTGCTTCTCTCCTTGATTGGTTTCTATCCGTTGCCTTTTGTTCTGCTCTCAGATGCTTTGGAGTATAGTTTGACTCCCTCTTCTTTGGGGCAGCCCCTGAGATATTGGAGCACTGCTAACATGTCACCCCTAGTCCTTCTTTTCATTAGACTAGACATACCCAATTGCAGCAACCGTTCTTCATATGTTTTAGCCTCCAGTCCCCTAATTATTCTTTTGTAGCTCTTCTGTGCACTCTTTCCAGAGTCTCAACCTCTTTTCTTACATCATGGTGACCAACATTGGATGCAGAATTCCAACTGTGGTCTCACCAAGGCCTTATAAAGTGGCATTAACATTTCACGTCATCTGGATTTTATCCCTTTGTTAATGCAGCCTAGCATTGCATTGGCTTTTTTTTGGTAACTGCACCAGATGGCTGGCGCATACTAAAATGTATGAACAATAGAGGCTAAACATATAAAGAACAGTTGCAGGGATTGGGGGTGTCTGCTTTAATGAAAAAAGGGGGGACATGATGGCATTGTTCCAGTATCTGAGGGGCTGCCCCAAAGAAGAGGCGGTCAAGCTATTCCCCAAAGCACCTGAAGGCAGGACGAGAAGCCACGGATGGAAACTCATCAAGGGGAGAAGCAACCTGGAATTAAGGAGAAATTTCTTGACAGTCAGGACAATAAATCAGTGGAACAGAAGTTGCCTTTGGAAGTTGTGAATCCTCCAACACTGGACGTTTTTTAAGAAGAAATTGGATAGCCATTTATCCAGTATGGGGGTCTCCTGTACAGACAGTGGGCTGGACTAGATGACCTCCACATTCTTTTAACTCTGTTCCAACTCTGTTATTCTGATACACAGATAGTCCTTGACTTACGACCGCAATTGACCCTCAAATTTCTGTTGAGGCAGCTGTTAAGTGAACTTTGCCCCATTTTACGACCTTCCTTGCAACGGTTGTTAAGTGAATACCCGCAGTTGTTAAGTTAGTAATGGCTTCCCTCAATGAATTTGCTTGTCAGAAGGTCGCAAAGGGGTAGCGGGTGACTACGGGATGATGCCGCCGTCATAAATAGGAACCAGTTGCCAAGGCATCTGAATTTTGATCACGTGACCACGGGGAATGCTGCAACGGTCGTGAGTGTGAAAAACAGTCATAAGTCCAGTTTTTCAGTGCCGTTGTAACTTTAGTGAATGATCACTAAACGAATGGTTGTAAGTTGAAGACCTTCCTCAATTTCATCTTGTTTGTTGGCACTTCCCTGCCCGAGGGAGATGGCGATTATGAAATAGGAAATGTAAATAAATAAGTAAACAAGGAGTTATTTAAACATAATAATTCTTCATTTACAACTCCCCTGAATTTTCTGATTTGGTTTGCTTTTTAAAAGTTTGAAAAACTTTGCTGTTGGTCTCATTATCCGCTCTGTTTTCATTCCAGTGCATTTCGATGTCCCCAGAGGGACAGTTATGATTGAAAGAAAGAAAAGGGGGGGAAAAACCCACCCAGTTTATGATAATAAGATTCGTCCAACCCAAGAATGTGGGACTCCAACAGGAAAAAACAACAGCGACAACCCATCTTCTTAATTAGCTTAAAGCCACCGACCTCTGCAAATTTCAGATGTAGAAAAACATGAAATTTGGCATATTTAAGCATTTCAAAGTTCAGGAGCATTTCGAAAGTTTTAAATTCCCCGGTTATTGTCGAGAATCGGATGACTGATAGTCCATGAGATTTGCCCCATTTTACGACCTGTCTTGCCATTGCTGTTAAGCGGGTCGCTGCAGTTGTTAAGTTGGGAACTTGGCTGTTAAGTGAATCCAGCTAGCCCGTTGACTTTGCTTACCCATCGTAACTTCAAGTAGTCAGTAAAGGAATGGTTGTAAGTTGAGGATTAATTGCATATATAATTTTCCACCCAGACGTTGCTGGCTGGTTACTTTCCTTTGTTCTTCTTCATTCCGTTAATCACTTTGCTCTAGTTTTGATATTTACATGCACAACAGATTCTCAGTAGGTTACGGGACTGAATTGCACTAAATAAAATTACAAAATGATTTTGTCCCAGGTACAGCATCTCCCCAACAACAGAAGTGGGTCTATGGAGCCTCTGCTTTGCGGATGAATCTCCCCGGGGCCATATTTGAAATATCATGGCATTCAGAAGCCGTAAAGAAATAAAGCGGGGAGAGAGCTTGATAATTAGATGAAGGGCACTGCATGGCAGGCATCGGTTATCCAGCTATGCGAGAGAAAAAGAAAGAAAGAAAAAAGAGAGAGAGAAGAGAAGAGAAGAGGGAGAGAGGAAGAAGAGGGAGGGAGGTGTTAGGGAAGGAGGAGGGAAAGGAAGAAAGGAATGAGAAAGAAGAAAAGGAAAGGAAGGAAGAAGAGAAGTTAAGGCTGGGAGGGAGGGAGGGAGGAAGGAAAGAGGAAGAAAGGAAGGAGGAAGGAAGGAACGAAAGAAGGAAGGAAGGAAGGAAGGAAGGAAGGGACTTATTACCATATTTCACAGTTATGACCGTTGCAGTATTCCCCCATGGTCACATGATCAAAATTTGGACCCTTGGCAACTGTTTCATATTTCCAACCGTTGCAGTGCCACATGATCCCCTTTTGCGACTTCTGACGAGCAAAGTCAATGGGGAAGCCAGATTCATTTGACAGCCGTGTTACTAACTTAACGGCTGCAGTGATTCACTTAACAACGATGGCAAGGAAGGTCACAAAATGGGTCAAAGCTCGCTTAACAGTTGTCTCACTGAAGCAGTGGGAATTTTGGGCTCAATTGTGGCGGTTAAGTCGAGTCCTGATTGTAGGGTCTCCTCATGCTTGAGCTGGCGGTTGGACTAGATGACCTCCAGGGTCCCTTCCATCTAATTATGTTTTGCTATCAAACAACTTTTGTCAAGCGAGCAACATAAAATAAAATACACAAATTCAAAATGACCCCTTTCCTGCTATTGTTCATCCTTAGCCTATTGATTTACATTCTGCGCTGCTCATCCGCAGATCAATTCGCTCCCAGCTTCTCTGCCTGCCTCAATTTCCAATACCGCCAAGCAAGTCACGGCTGCTGATGGGTTTTTTTGGGGGGGTGGGTGGGCGCTTGAAATAGACCAGGAGAAGCCGGGAGGGTTCGATCGAAAGGAGTCTAGCGGTGGGATCAAAATAAGGAAGCCTCCGATGAAAGTTGGAAAGGGCTTTGCAACGTGGAAAATAAAAGAAGCGTCGAGGAGCGCCCGGAGCAGAGGGAAATACTTAATCTTCACAGCCTTATGATGGGTGGACTCCAACTCCCATAATCCCCCAGCCAGAAGGCTTTAAGAGAGGAGGACTTCAATTCCCAGAATTCCCTGGCGACCATGAATTTAACAGGGGTAGATTTCAAGTCCCAGAACTTGCCTTCACTGAGTAACATTAAGTTACAACTGGTTCTCATACTTGCGACCGTCGCAGCATCCTCACAGTCACATGATTGCCATTTGCCTCCTTCCCAGCGGTCATAACTCGAGGATTATTCCCCCTTTTCAGTCTTTTCCCCCCCTTTTGTTAGTGAAGGGTGCTGGTGCCAAGAGCCCCTTGAGGCTGAACTACTGGAAGTAATTAGCAATTAATTAATTAGGGAAACCCCTTGATTGCGCCTCTTACCTTCAATTTGATCATTATTGAACTCCAGCTGAAAGGGAAGGGGAGAAAAAGTCGATTATTATTCATACTTGCCATCAAATGGGAAACCCAAATGTAACCTTTTCATGACAAGGTGCAAGGTTCTTTTAGTGACCGTTCCAATAATTGTGGCCGCAACGTTCATAAAATGGGGCAAAACTCACTTAAAAACCATCTAGCTTAGCAACAGAAATTTTGTCTTCCATTGTGGTCATACGTGGAGGACTTCTTGGGTACATTTAAACACTGGCGTGTTATATATAGGTAGTCCTTGACTTACGACACTTCATTGAGCCCTAAATTTCTGTGGCTAAGCCGCAAATTTGTTCCCTGAATTTTCCCTCGTTTTACAACTGTTGTTAAGTGAATCATTGAAGTTGTTAGTCACACTGTGGTTAAGTCAAGGATGGTAGTCTACCGGCTCAGATCAGTTCTATAGAACCGGTTGTTATGATTCTGCGCAGTTCAGATAACTTGCAAATCGCTCCACTGGCTGGCCCCTCGCTTCCCTGTCTACTCACTCCTTACCTGGTATGTACTCCATCCAACTTGCCTGCCTTTAGTAAGTTGCTACTTTTCCTTTTTTTTTCTTCCCAACCATCAACGGTTCTGCTCTGCCAGGAGATTTAGATTAGCTAGAAAGCAGGAAATGGTTGGATTTCTTGCTTTCTAGCTAATCTAAAAGCAGAGCTGAACCTTCCTGAGGACTGAAGCTTCTATTTTTCAGTGCAGACTCAGGCAGCAGATTGCAGAAAGGTAGATTTCTGAGTGAATCTGTGATTCTGCGAGCAACTCAATCTGCCTGCCTGCTTTGCCTGGTTCTGGGTAAAAGTTGCTCTTTTTTTAAATACAAAATTCTATATTTACATAAATATTTATAATATTTACATACAAGCCATGCCCAGCCAGTCACATGGCTACCAAGCCATGCCCAGTCAGCAAGCCACACCCACAAATTAGGCCACGCCCACAGAACCAGTTGTTAAGAAATTTGAATCCCACCCCTGGGTTAAGTGAATCTGACTTCCCCATTGACTCCACTTGTCAGATGGTTGTAAAAGAGGATCAGATGACCCCGGGACACTGCAACCGTCATAAATATGAATCAGTTGCTGAGCATCCAAATTTTGATCATGTGGCCAAGGAGATGCTGCAATGGTCGTAAGTGTGAAAAACGGTCCTAAGTACCTTTTTTCAGTGTTGTAACTAAACGAATGGTCATAAGTCAATATTATTCTCGGTGTTTGCAAGCATGGTGCTCTTAAATTTTTCTATTGATTTTAAGGCCTTTAATGTTTTAATGTCTTTAAAACATTGTTGGATATGACATGGATGGCAAATCAATTTCATTAATAAATGAAGAAAGGAAGGAAGAGAGAGAGAGAGAGAGAGAAAGAAAAAGAAAAAGAAAGGAAGAGAAAGGAAGGGAGGGAGGGAGGCGGGAGGCAGGGAGATGAAAAGAGAGAGAAAGAAGAGAATGAAAGAATGAGACAAAGAGGTAGAAAGAAAGAAACAAACAAACAAAGGAAGAAAGGAAGGAAGGAAGGAAGGAAGGAAGGAAGGAAGGAA